TTCCTTAACAACAACAAAATTTTGACTTAATACAGTGCATATAAAGTTTTTTAGAACTAAACTTTTTAAATATTATTTGAATTTAGCAAAACATGAGCAAGATTTTAATATCAAAGTGCTAAACAGTACTGCCTTAGAAGTCACTGCAAATAAACTGTAAAATAACTCTGCTTGTGATTTGACAGATATTTTATATACAAATGGTTAACAACAACAAAATTTTGACTTAATACAGTGCATATAAAGTTTTTTAGAACTAAACTTTTTAAATATTATTTGAATTTAGCAAAACATGAGCAAGATTTTAATATCAAAGTGCTAAACAGTACTGCCTTAGAAGTCACTGCAAATAAACTGTAAAATAACTCTGCTTGTGATTTGACAGATATTTTATATACAAATGGTTAATAAAAAGACACGCGCACACACACACACGCACACAAATAGAGGTATATACATATATATATATACACATTATATATATGTATATAGTTTTCCAACTGGTGTATCTGAGTCAGTGTGAACACCCCATTTAGTTATCATGTGTAACAGGGCTCCCATGAGCTGGCAGTCATTGCAATAAATACAGGCAAAGCCATTACAATATACCATGCATACAAACATTTATACAAATAAAGACACTATGCAACAAATTATCTCATATTAATATGGCATCAACAGTATAAACATACAAAAAGGAGTACGAACACGGAATGTTTAAACGCAGCCCACTATATCCTTCCTAGCACTTACATTCATACTATTTTACAAGACTTGCTTGTTCTTGAAAACCATCTTCTGTCTGTTTACTAACTAGTCACTTGTGTTAGGAGTCTAGAACTGAACTATCCCTGATGCTGACCCTGTATGCTCCAGTCACTACTTACTCGGATTTCCTTAGCTAAGGAACAACTGAGCCACAATTGCTCCTGTGTCTTCCACATACATTTGTCAGTAAGTCACGCTACATGGAATCAAGTTTGGAAAACTCTGTCAGGTAAGTTAGTGCATGTAATTTTCTCACTTGATTTCTTCCGTTTGTCTTCATAGTAAAATAAATTAGTTAATAAACGAGACTTAGTAAGACAGCACTTTAAAAAATTGCACTTGAACATGGGAGCTAACAGCCATTGTCATTTTGCTATATTTGATTTGTATGAAATGTTTAATTGAATGTACTTTGCTAAAAAAGTGAATTTTTGATTAGATTGTGCTGATGTATGTGCCCTTGATGCGGGAAGTATGCTAAAGGTATCCTCACAAAACACATACTACCCTGGCAAACAACTATTTGCTGTTCCTGTTTTCAAACACAGCTTCTACAATTTTATTCCTCACAGACCATGAGGTGTTAAACAACAGATTTAAAACAGTCATGTTAACCTTTTACCGCTGCTGGGATAGCATTGTCCAAAAGTGCCATATTAGCCATTTAAAAAACCCAAATCACACAAAAGAAAACAAAGAACACAACCCCAAACCAGTAAGCCAGTAAGTTTCAGGCCTCAGGTTGTAAGGACAAAGCGCCAGAAAAGACCTCATTTTAGACTCGGAGCTGCTTTTCTGTTAAGTGAGGGCAGAAATGTTAGCTGTAAGTCACGATCCATTTGCCTGCTCTGGTGGGCGTTTGCCTTTCAGGAGGGTGGCTTGACTCAGAAGGGTAAGGTGTCCAGAAACAGCCTGTCGATAATGGAAGGGGCTGGCACCAAATCTTCCAGTTTCAGGTAAAAGATGCGCTGCAGTCCCAGTGTGCAGAGAGAACGCAAGTCAGCCAGAACACCCAGTACCTTCGGCTCTGCAGACTCAAGTGGTTGTCCTTTGTTTTGGCAACTGAAAGTTAAGTGATCTTTCAAACTGCTTGTGATCTTGTTGCATAGCTCTTCCACTTTCTTTGGTTCTTTTAATCCATGTCGTTCTGCAAAGTGAGAGAAAAAGACCACATCAGCATCCCTGCCACAAATTGAGAGAGCTCATTTTCTTCAGTATAGCCCAGATGTATACTCTGGTACTCAAAGCAAAAAGTGCTTTGAAAGTGTAAGATTTCTCAGAACAGCTGGGGTTATGCGATGTCAGTTAACCTTTCTGCCACACAAAGTAAGGAGATGGCGAGTGCCCTTTTCTCTTTAGCTGCTAAAATAGGTGAGAGACTCTCAGTTATGACTGAAATTCTAGTACAAGGAATCCAAGCACCCTGCGTATCTGACATAATTTTCATGATATGAGACAGAATTAATTGGGTGATTTTCCAGCAAAACTATCACAGGAGGTGTTTTGGAGATTTCCATGCTTCCCCACCAGTTGTGAATGCTCAATAACTATGGCAACCATTATTTATTCAGTGAATTCAAGTGGCGATCGATATCCTTAGCCAGCTCCATCAGCTCCCAGCCTAGAATTCCACCAGGAATTTGCAGAGACTCTTATAAGAAACTAAAGGCACCTTACTCTCCTTTGTTATTTTGATCAGCTGCTGCTTTTTAGTTTATTCATCTTTAAAAGCTCTAAGATAAAAGAAGCCTGGACGTTAAGTATTTTGCTTTGAGTGAGCAATGCCTAAAGTGAACAGCTGCTGTGTTATCCATGGCAAAAAACTCAGCACTCCTAAAAGGAAGGGGAGCTGGGGTTTGTCCCCCTTCAGATACCTTTTTTAAAATACTACAATGATGTTAAATGCATCCACAGTTCTTTTTGCATAAGTAGAATGAATCAGATTTGTGATGCACTAAAAGCAGGCTCTTTAATGGGGAAAGAATTCTGTGTTGTTTGCTATCAAGATTTAGTGGATAAATTAACATTTCAGAACAAAAATCTCAAATAATATTCTGATGTTTCGATTTGACTTTGAAATTCACAGGTAAGTAAGAACTGGGTTCACAGCAGAGAAATAGAATTATGCCAGATAGGATAATCTAAGAAAACGCAGTTTATATTAATTTAAATCAATTAGACATACAAAACAATTAGACATTAGATAGCAGCAGATGAGGAGTAATAGTGGCAGTTCTTATGTTTGATACATTTGAAGTTATCTCCTTCCCCGGCCCTCTCTCCCATGCCTGGCAGCCACCAGTCATATTGTGCCCATTGCTCCCAAGTCTTGTTCCTCTGTACCAGGAGGAGCAAGCGATAGATATGTTCTCTGCCTGTCCCCTAATGAACAGTGAAAAGAGTACAGTTTTCTTCACTTCCAGAAGCAGGAGCAATGCCTGCACTGAGTGCAGTGGTGCCTTGCTCAGGCCTGTGTATATAAACTCCTCGCTGCCTCCTCTCACCACCTGCTTTGGCTACATGCTCTTCACAAACCAATAAAACAGACGGGATTCAATGAAGGCAGTCAGAAATGTAAAGGTCTGGTTTTCCACTGATATTCCCCCATTTTACACTTTTTTTCAATGGTATTTACTTAGGCAGAGTCAGCTCCTGTATAATACTGGTTTGGGATCAGAATCAGAGATGTGCAGACGTGTACATCTCTGGCCAGAAGCTACTGCACTCTGTCATTTAAGTACTGACAATTTGCCCTATTGTTTCAGGGCAACACTCATCCAAGCAGTGACATCTGCTTCAGACATCTTTTTCACCTTGCAGGAGTTAAAAACCTTAGGTATTCTGAGTGCCTTGTTTACATTAAAACACAAGAAGTCTATGAATATTTAAAGCCGTTCCAGTAAATGGTGTATAGTGTAATTATGTAAGCCTTAACTATACAGGTCACCAAGAGTAAATACTTAGGCAGATTCTGCCATTAAAAATCTTGGCAGATAAATATTTTATACAGGTTGGAAAAGCTGTAGGGCTTTTTTTTTTTTTACCACTAGCCTACTGAGAGAATCTGCAGGACATTAAATTAACCTTGCAGTCTTTGAAGAGTTCCCATCTTTTAATCTGTTTTGTTTCCTGGCTCTGTAAGGGAAGATATTTTTATAGATACAGGGTGCTGAACTACTAGAATGGATCCAAAACCTGACTGCAAATTAGCAGAGCACATTTTTAAACCATTGTCTCAATAGGTGTGTATCTTGTTGCAGAGTATGGAAAATTATCTCCGGCTCTGGAGCATGCAGTGACTTTGTTAGCATTTTCAGCCAGAACTAAATAGTCTGTCTCCCACTGACAAGTTCAGAAGGTTTAGCGAACAAATCATGTCTTTGATGAATAGCCATGAAACATACCAAAGCAAAACACTATGCCTGCAAAGATTATCATATTAGTAGCCTTACTTTACATAACAAAATCATGGAAATTCAGAATTAAGAGATATTCTGTCCTTACACCACTTTCTGGTGCTACAATATTAAAGCAATCCCCGATAAACCAAACTGTCCTCTCCTGCATGAATTGCCATACAGTGGCCTTCCCTACTTGCAAATCTCTACAAAGGTTAATTCCTCATGACTGGAACTGCCTCAGGGGTTTTCAGTCTTCAGTTCCTAAGGCATCCCTTGTGGATGCATAGAAAGTCAAAGCCATCGATGTGGAAGCCCTTCCACTAGGGAAGGACACCGCATGCACTGGCACTGCCATTGCAGTCTCCGGTGTTAGCATCCAAGTAGTTTCTGGAGAACATACTCATCTAAGACATGGCTCCTCTCCTTGGTAGACTTGGAGTCTGGGACATAATTTTCTCAAATATTTAAATTTAATAAGGTTCAAATAACAGAAAACACATTTTCTTGCCTTTTCCACACATCCAGCCCTATTTGCACAAAGAAAGACCCACAGTCTTTCTTAGGCAACCTACAGGGAGCAGCATGAGGCATCTGTGGTGAGTGCATGTGGTGGCACTGAAGCCAATGGCCTCCAATCATTTGTTGTCTTCCATGGGATGTTCTTATCCATGTGGCCAAGATTTATGCCAAGAAGGAGAGCTGGTCAAAATGATTAGCTTTTCTCTACCTGATTGAGGAGGTGTGTAAATATTGTTGTATTCAGACTTTCTTAAAATGACAATTAAAAAGGCACATGCAAATATAGGTTTTCTCAGCCTTGTGTTTTAGGATATCATTGATTATTGCAAGAAAAAATGGTGATTTATGGCAAAGATGCTCTCCATAAACTTGTCAAAATGACTCATTAAAAGTCTTGTCCCTAAAGCTCTGCATACTTAGCTCATCCAGGCAAACTGAATGCCACAAGTTTTTCACACCTTTCATTTTTTCCCCGGAAGCTCAATGTGATTCTGTGCTATCATTACACTGATCAGCAAAAACTTGATAGGAAGAAAGCAAAGGAGCAGGAAAATCTGTCACCAGCTGTGCTAGTCCTTCTTTTCCTAACCTCTGACACAGGGTAGATTGTACCAGGGCTAGGCATACTGAGCACTCTTTTATGGGAAATGTCTCTCAAAGAGCATGAGTACCTGAAAAAATTTAAGTACCTCAAAAACCCCTGGGCTCCGCACTCTGTGTCAGGGTGGGTCACTTTTAGCCTTAATTCATTCTGAGGTGTCAGTCTGATCAGAAAGGCAACTGATCAGCACTGCAGACTTAAAATAGGCCTCTTGATTCTCTCGGTTTCAGTATAGTTATGTGATTTTCTCTTCCCCCTTCACAATCCTCTTCCTTTTCTATAACTCAAACACAAGACCCAGATGCCTACAGCTTTCTGGTTGTCTCATGCACACACTGTTACACAGGATGATTGCAACTCCACAGACACAAGAGTCTCCTTTCCTGTAGCCATCTGGTCCATATTCACCCTGCCTAACTCTCAAGCACTTTGCAAGGGTTCCCAACCTAGGTGCACAGATTTCTCAAGATCCTCCTAACATCAGTAGAAGGACAGGTGTTTTTGGAAGATTATTACATTTTAGGTGGGTGAATCGTCTCTAGAGATGCCCTGTATTTTCTATCAGCTGTGCAAGGTACCTAAAGTCAGATGAGCCGAATGACCACACAGAACACCCTAGTTTGTTCCTTACTTTGAATAAACTACAATGTAATACAGAGACTGCTGATTGCTGTAGGAAGGAAAGAGTTCTTGCCTCAGCAAAAAGGTGGGAGTGGAAAAGGAGGAGTGAGTACTTCACTTTGATGCTGACAGTATTTCCCTCAGCAAAGTGGCAGGGGGAAGGCAGACAATGCAATCTGGAGGGGTTGTTTTTTTTATAACTAGCTCTCCTACACTCCTCCAGTCTGCCACCTGCTTGTATGTAGACCCAGCACATGAAGCACCCACTCCAGAGGATATCCTGGCAAGAGGACTCAAGGGTATCTGCTGCTGAAGAGTAGGTAAGTCTCCTTTCCGTAAGGAGTTTGGACAAATTCATGTTCAGAAGGAACTACAGCAGCCAGACTGGACTCATTACTATTTCTTGGTATGACTGATGGTGCTAAAAATTGTGTTTGTAAACTGGAACGGAAAGCCCAACAGCAGGAAGACAAACACAAACTCATAATTAATTGAAACCTCACAATATTCTTCAATGGTCTGGTGCCAGTCTAACAAAGCATTAAGAGTGTGAATAAGCCCAATATATACAGTAGTTCTGGGCTGGTCTGTAACACACTTAAAATAAAACATATGCTGAAAGAGCTTGGCTGAATGAGGGCTAGAATGCTCTGTACTCGGCAGCATCCCACTGAGAGTGTCAAGTGGGCAAAACAATAATAGTTTGATGTGGATAGAGAAAGGAAGAGGCAGAGAGGAAAAGCGAATCAACGAGAGAGAGAGAAAAATAACACTAGCAGTTTTAGAGCAGGCAGAAATTTGAGGCTAGTGTGCCCTTGAGATGATCTGCAGTGGACTCCCAGTCTTTGTATTTTCATAGTGTTAGAAAAAAACCTGTAAACCAGAACATTATAAATGGTCATTTGGGAAGTTAAGGAAGCATTTTTAAGTACAGGCTGAGCTAGTATCTGGTCTACTCTGCAAAGCTTCGCCTTCAACACTATCCAGTCCAGCATGAAGGGGTTGTTCAGGAACACTTTTGATCCATGAACACACTAAACTGATAGAAATCATCCAAGTGAAACTAATGACAGAACTTGCCCCAAGATGACCAGCATTTCCTTTCCATGTTGGCACTCTTCTTTAGCACATTAGAGCCTGCATACCAACAGAATAAGTGATCCAAAGAAAAAGAACATGACAGGATTCTTTTTGCTTTCATGGGGATGTGGGGTGAGTGTCATGTATTGTCTCCTAACTACTTTCTTCTGGGTGATGCTTAAAGCACCACTCATGTGCTCTGGAGGAAGTTGTGTCCTACCTTTCTTAACCAACTAAAGGAAGTAAGAAAAGAGAAGAGAGACAGAGAGAGGAAGATCCTAAAGGAGTAGCTAAAAGTAAAAAGTTGTGTTTTGTCACTACAGAGTTTTAATTTAACAGTTTGCAAGCCACCTCAATAAACCAGATGTGACTTCTTTAATTCTGAGTGCTCTTTCAAGCTGATCTCTTATCTGAAAGGACTTGAAAATTCAGTAGCAATCTGACATAATGCTTTTCCTTCTAGGCAACATACTGCAAATTCCCAGGAAACATAAAATAAGTAGGAAAAGCACAAATATATGGACTTTCTAATGGATCATACGAAGGAAAATGTTACAAAATCTTTCCCTGTTTACTTTATGTTGTGCATACCGTTAGTTTTACTCAAAGCAAGCAGTGTAGTGAACTAGCAAGTACTGTAATAACTCACTAGGTCTCTTGCCATTCCCCTCAAAATTACTGAACAGAATGAATGACCATACATGCCTATAATCATGCATCCTATCCTGTCATCTGCAGCTGCGATTGAAATAGGACATGGAGCTTTGCAGCTCCAAACAAGTCCAACAAGGGTTAGTTAAAGGTCACTGGAACTACTGGGGCCGTTACTGAGGAGACGATTTGACATCCCAAAATGAGAGAACGGCCTTCAGTATGTCTTGAGACACTGGCAACAGTGGAATGTCTTTTAGTCTCCAACACTGTCTTGCATTTATTCCCTCTTCCTTAACTGGGAGACAGATATTAGTTCTTGCTGTCACTCTTGCAGAACCAAAAGAGAACATGCAAAAGAGAATAACAACTCCTCTGAATTTTCTCCCTCAGCAAAACTGCCAATGACTAGTATACAAGAGGGTTTGTTTTCTAAGAGCACATCTTTGTTTGGGCTATTGACAGCACTCATGAAATCAAGAAAAACAAACAGGTCCTTGTTCCCAGAAGCATTTTTCTTTACCTGGAGAGACAATCCTTGAACTGGGTGCTACCTAAAAGGCTGTATGGTATTAAAACAGGCTATGACTATTGTAGAACACAGGGTTGTTGTCTCTTCCTTTTTTTTAAGGTTAATCCATCAAGTAATGAACACTTGACTAATGCAAAATAAGAACTGGAGCAATTTGTGCAATAATCAAGAAAATTTTGCACAAGTCAACATTTTGATTTTGCAATGCTGTTACTAAAGGCAAACTAGGTTCACAAAACAGAGCTTTCCTGCTCCTTCCTATCTTGAAGCCTAATGACATGGATATCCATCTAGGACATGGGAGACCCATGGTCAGATTCCCTTCCTGTTGGAACCAGACCAGAGATTGAGCCTTGAGTGTCCCTCTGATCATCAGCTTGTCCTCAGATCATCAGACACGACAACCATTCTGCAGCCCGTGAAATATATCAAGTTGTCTTAAGACAGTTATATTCAATAGTCAGATATCCTATGTTCCAGGAAAAGGTCACTCTCTCTCGGTCTGACTCACAAAAAGGGCTTGAACCAGGGTTTGCTAACTATCCATTGCCTCCAACAGTCCATTACAGGAGAAAGTACCTTCCCCAGAGATAAACAATGGCACCTAAAACACCCATCAAAATCTAAGCTAAGTCTCAAAACAATGCTTAAAAATGTTCTACTGGTTCCATATTTCCAAATTTTCTCTTTATTATTTTTAATCTTTTGGTGGGACTAGCTAAAAACCAACACATGGTTTGTCATACGCAAACCACAAGGAGGATACAAGGAACTATTTCTCATGGGACACCACACCAGAGGCAAATCTCAAGGCTTTCCTGAATAAAAAATTTCAATACACTAACAGAGAAAATCTCAAAAGAACCCTGCCCAACAGCATTTGTGCTGTAGTTAGTGTTCTCTTAGCCATAATTACCGCATTTCCTCTTACAGGTTGTTTGTTTTAATATCTTTTCATCATTAGACAATACCATCTGTTTTCAGGTGACCAAATTTCTGGCTGAGTCCCTAAGATAGCTAACACTCTTGGAGATCTGAAACAAATGAATATAAGTGAATATATATATATTATTCACTGAAACCTGTGAATGTAAGTCACTAAACATGGGAGCTTTGGTCTAATTTAGATTGCATGAAAACATATGCAAATCAGCAGAGATATACAGGCCTAATTAATTAAAAGAATAAGCAGAAAACTAAATTTCTTTTAAACACCATCTCACACAGGGGTGAAAATCAAGAGAAGCTTGACAAATACAGAAAATCTGAAGGCTTTTATGTACATAAACAGTCTTCTTTTAATGGCAACAGATGCTTCTATTTGTTTAGAAGCTTTCAGAAGACCAGCACAATATAGCAAACTCCTAGAAGGGTTATGATCAAGGAAAGGAAGAAATGTGAGATGTTACCCATTAAAACCTATTTCTAATTACCTTAGGGAGACCTGAGCCAGCCACTGGACAACTTTGGCTCTTTATGTAAGGGCATGCAAGCAGTGTGTAACTGAACAAAATATCATGTTAAAACAGGGCATGAGTTTGTAAGGAAAATACATTTTCTTCCGATACAATAGCTTTTACTACATTCGCTTAGACAGCTTGCTGGGAATCCTGTTCATTGACCTGCATACTCTTGGTCTCCAGGAAGATAATCAAGAACACGCTACCTGTGTCTATCTAAAAAAGGCATGAATATATAGTAAATAATCTAAATCATTGATATGTGCTATATAAATGGGAGCATATATGCCTGTATGTAAATATAGATGGAGATAGACAGCACCTGTCCTTGATTTATAGATATCTAAAGGCATACACATACATAAATACGTTACATATCTATATAGGTATGCATATACATACACACATACATATATATGTATATATTTATAATACATCTGTGTAAGTATATGTGAACACATGTCAGTGGATGTTTATATACAGGAGTAAAAAAAAGAAATTGGGAATGTTCTTTCTCACTTTAACACACAACACATTTTTTATACAGAGCAAAGCAACTCCAATGAGTTATTCTGTCTTAAATGTTTTATCAAAGAAAGTAGAAACTGGACCTTAAAGCACCCTTTCCAACTGCAGAAGAAATAAACAGAAATGAATCAAAACATTGAAAATACTTAAGAAAATACTTAAGAAACAAAGAGTTACATGTGGTGCTACCCCTTCACCAAAAAGCAGGAAGAAAGAGTACTATGTAAACTCTGAAGCCAAAATTTTGGCCTCACAAACGTCAGC